GCTAATGAACACACAGCACCACGTCTCAGGTGCAGTGGGCACCAAATAAAATCGACAACGCGTTTCTGGATCGTGGGTAATATCGATAGGTGAATCAAAGAGATAAAACCAGACTACTCAGCCTCCTCTACTGATCCCATCTAATCGTGAGAGAACCATCAGCGATCTCGGTAGTCAGCCAAGATAATGTTGCCATGACGACGTTGTGAAGCACTGAAACTCGACGAGTACGAAGCTGACTCAGCTTCCTGAGAAGAACTTGTGTGTTAGTAGACAAGCTGGTGAGGGCCCCAAAGGTTACAAGCGCAATTGTGGGTACCGAATTCAGGTTTGAGCTTATGGGAATCCACAAGGGTCGGCTGCCGGTCGAGTTTTGTTGCAGTGCGGACACAGCCCACGGGGCCACGCTGGGTTGATGTATAGTGTGTCAGCAAATAGATGAGAACCAAGTTCTCCTTTAGCTGCCAGGGTGTTTTCCCGCTGTCCCGGTTTTGATCTGACTTCTAACAGGTTGCGTACGTGACCTGTTTGTTCAGTGCTACCTTGTCTATTCCATAGGTATTTCGGATGGCAGATTCTTGCAAATTTTATGCCGCAACTCGAGCATTATTCCTGCCAATAGTTTGGATCTCTCATGAACCATGCCCTTTATATTTAGGTGAGCATGGTAACCTTGAAGTCCGATATGCAATCACCTTTTGGACTACGTGCTGGTGGATGAAGCGTCATTTGTCCCAGCCATGTGCATAAGCCTCTAGCTCGTTTGAATGCTTTAGATCCAAAACACCATGAACAAAGATCAGTTCTAAGTGTTTTGCTTTACGCTAGTCTCCCGAGTTTTGCTTGTTTCTGACGTTAACTCCAAGGAATATCTAGACAAAGTCGGACAGTGCATGGGGTGATAGGGAGGCGACTAGTTTACAAGAGAACTGTCTCTACATCATTTCCTGACAGTGTTGCTTGGAGCACCCGTCGTTCACATTAGTGTACCGAGCTTGGATGACGGACGGTGCACATCATACTCGCTAGCTTATATTGGACCCCAGTTACTTGACAAATAGAGTCCCACTGTTTCTGGCCGTCTAACAGCTTCGGATTCTGACACAATGGAGCCCATAATAATCAAAGAATCATGATGCTGTCCAATATTCGCTTTTTTGGAGTTGTGTGGATGCTTTCCTTGATTGGACTAAAAACGGCAGTCTAGGCTCCGCGTCATTATTTGCAGCATTATATTCTCTCATTGTGACAACTGTTGACGCTACGATGGACCGTGTCTGCCGTGGAGGTGGCAACAATGGACGCGTGTGCTATCGGACCTTCGGCAGTACTGTTTGTACCAGTCGTTTAACAGTTGGTTTTTGAGCTAGTTTGCCTCAGATTCAGGCACATTGGAGCATCTAATGGTAAAACGATCTAGTAGAATCTATGTGTTTTAAAGCACCTGCACATTGACGGTGGCGCACGGTCAAGCAAGGCCGGTTACCAGGTGAAGATGATGCGGCATCGGGAGAAACTGTGCTTAAGGCCCTTGAAACCTGCGAAAAAGTTAACGTCACCATGTACACTTTAGACAGGAAGCAAGATGGGTCGATGAAAGTAAGCGTAACCAAGGTGCCGCTTGCCAGCCGCGTCTTATAATCCCGATAGCTAAACATGGAATAGGTTGAGTGGATCCATCTTGCAAGGATAGATGGGCCAATAGTTCTCAGGCGAAAGAGCTTATTTTGCCTTTTGGGGTTATTAACTTCATCGTGGGTCATCGTGGGCCCGGTGAACAAGTCAAGGCTCCCATAACGCTCGGTGCGCACAAGCAACAACCTGTACAACCGCATGAGTTGAACTGATGGACTACGGTCGTCTGGCCCCTGTTGTCTAGGACGGTCTTCCTCCAACCCCAAATTTTATCGCATATCAGCATCTAAAAGATCATCATGAAAATGTTTGGGTGATGTGACTACATTCCGCAAATGTGGTTCCGTTGGAAGTTGCAAGTAAACTAACAACGATTCAATCTAAGCTATATGAGGTCAAAACTGCTCGGTGGCAGGAGACGAAGAGAAGTGCTCCTAAAACTCGGTGTTGCCTATTTCGACTGAGGACACTGATACCTCACTACTTATGAATAACGTCTGGGAAAATTGCTGCTGGTCAGCGATAGTTTAATATTAACTGAGAAAATAATCCCGGAGAAGACATCAGAAGCAAAAGACAGTTAGGCGAACAAGCATGTTTTCAGTGGTTCGCATGGTAAAATTACTCCATCCTCCACACACTGAATCATCCGAGACCACCATACTTCATGAAACCTCGCAGCCCCATTCTACCTCACGCCTGAGGGGCCAGCTGCTCGTGCTGTGCTCAGTTTAAGTATATAATACATTCATGGATTCCAGTTGGCTCATTAACCAATTGGGTATTTAAGTTCGGAGGGAATGAAGGATGACAATGTCACAAGCAAATTTGGAGTTGCTCAAGGCACCAGAAAAATCTTTTATTTAAGGCTATTATCATCAGTATACTTATGCTGAGGCAAATGTTGTATAAAATCCCAGCAGATCTATCTAACGGTGGGCTACATCGGTTTCTTGGTCAGTAGTATGGCTAGCGGCATCCGGTTTCGGATTTGTCTGTCACCGTGGCCAGTCACAGGACGCTTGCGACTACAGAGGGACAATGGATGGCTTACGCTGCACCACCCACAGCTCCAACCACACACCCCTTATTCAGTGTAAACCCGAAGTAATAAGATCGGGAGGTAGGTGGATGGGAGCCACGTCCCATCAACGGAGCCGGCCAACACTTCCTCACAGGCAAACACAAGCACGCTGTATTTGGGGAATAAAGCGCACACAAGGCAGTGCCTGGACCGTGGTCCGCAATATAGTCAGTAATATAGGAGGGCATCAACTGTCATTGTAGCGGAAAGCTTCGGCAAAATTTTCTAGACTGTTAACTTATGATTACAGTTGAGGCACTCGCTCCAAATGAGTGGCAGTGGAGATTAGAATTAAGCCCCGAAAGCGCATTGGCGAAATATTTGAGTCCACTGCTGGAAGACAATCGGTGACACATTGGTGCTAGTAATACCCGAAGCCAGTGCTGCTCAGAAGCGGCTTATGGCAGGTACGTCGTTGTAACAAGCGTGCACCACCGGCATAAATCCACAACAAACGATTCAACTAATAGGGAGTTAGAAGAGCCATTCATATCGCGGTATTTGTAGCAATCGCTGAATTATTCGTAACACACAATGACCAGTTAAGTTTAGTGCAGAGTAAGTTGCCAGTAGTCAAAACTGCGGCCCAGTTAAGTAGGAGCAAAACTCAAGAACAAGTAGCGTGTTCTAGCAAAACGTGTGCGTAACTCAGTTGACCAGGTCAAACGGGTCGTAAGATAAGAGGAATCCGCTCAACGAGCTACGATTCCGTCATAGAATTGAAGGTAACGCCAACTTCCCGCCTGACAGTGAGTTGGACATTAGCGCTTCCGGACACAGAAATCCAATAGTTACAGATTAAAACTCGATGCAGACGGACCGATAACCGCTTTGGTGACGTGGATTTAAGTCTCCTAGAGACGTTTAGGGTGGAGAGTGTCGGTTTGCCACTTGTTCGTACTCTTAGCTTAAAGGTGGAACCGTGGATATAATAGTTCATTGCAGAGGCCAATGAGCTACTTAAGTGACGCAGAGAGTAATGCGAACGCTAACTGGTCAAGTAAATAAACCTCTGAGCAAACAACGTGAATCATTATCAGCTCCAGTTCATTTGATTCAGCAGAGCTTGTATTAGTGTCGGATCACCCTACGGGCATTCCAGAGACGACAGTTAGTTTACGAGTAAATCTTTAAACTTTGAAGAATAATGGTACCTCGGTACAGAAATGTACTCTCCTGAATACTCAGCCAACGACGATACACATCCCCGGTTATCATAAGGAGCATTTGTTCGCAGCAAACGTATAGGAGCTGACGCACGCGTGTGCATAACATGTGGCCAGGAGTTGAATAACTCACAGGGTATTTTAGATGCTAATGCAGATCATTCTCGTTTGCTTTGATGCTTAAACAGAAAATAAAAAACATTTAATGATGCTGCTCGTCAAACATCTTCAAACAGTCACTGGCGGTTGGTAATAGGCGTCATGTTCAGTAGTCGCGGACAAACAAAAGCAATCGGAGAGAGTACCGTTCGGATTGGGGGCGCAGAACCATTGCCACTGATGAAATTATAACATACCCCGAAACGAGTAAGCTTACGGCGGTAGTAGCTGTTACATAGGGGCGGTTAGCAAACCGTACTATGGGTAACTACTGTCATGTAACCACAGTTCGGGTAACCAAACGAGATCTGAGAAACTGCGCTTGGGTTCAGTACGACAGTGGCGTGACAGATTTGTAATAACAATGCTCACTCATTCTACAACGTTGGCTGATTTATTCTCGGTAGCAAACGTGCCAGTGCCCAACAAATATCTTGATAGTTCGCGGGTCAGCTAGCGCTGTACAGCAAGATTTCCGAAGTTACGTATTGCTACACTGGGGGATTTGGTAGTTCAGTATTGGTTGCCGCAGGTAAGGGGGAAATGTGGGAAAGCGAGCGGCGTGTGTTCCGACTTCGTTCGTGTTGTTTAATCCAAGAGTAGACATCAATGAGGCTAATCAACGGTTTCTGGTGGAATATCTCCTTGGCTGCACCGTGTAAATTCACCATAATTAGTTTTGCTATATACCTCTTATGGTTCCGCATGCTGGTGACATGGAACGTCGGCCGGTATGCGCAACGCCTCAATGCTCAGCTTATGCGTGTTGAAGTGAATTAAAGCATCTAAGGAAGCGAAGCTATATCTGTTGCCCCTCTACAGGTTCGTAAAATCTCGAACTGAGTTTTACCCACATATGAGCGAAAACATACACGGCAGGCAAACCCGTTCCGTTGTCCTAATTGGGGGATAGGTTGACATTTGACGGTATCATAAAGTGTTGTATTCTGTGAAATCGGCTAAGAAAAGCATCTTGTTGTAATAAAATACTCAGGTAAAAATTATCGTTGTGAAAAGTAATGTATGCACTAATCTAACACGGGCCGCCAGTATCCATTATTGAGGATGCTGTGTCCATTAACACCGACTGTCGTCTATTTTTCCACAGCAAATTCCTTCTTTCCAACTTCGTTGACGACACATACGTGCTGAAATGTCGAAAAAGGAAGGTATAGTTAATCTGTGCTTACAGTTGGTAATGCAACACGCAATTTAAGAAAACTGAAACTAATTGCAGTAGTCGTAAAGTCGGTGAAGTGAGGGTGTGTTGAGAGGTTTCTCACAGCTGGGATCACTCATGAAGCTATCACATGTACAGAAAAATGAGCAACTGTTTCTGATTTCGAATTCCGAGGAGTTGGAGTGAGTTTCGCTTTGACTATTGGTCGCAATAGGTCTGAACTAGCACCCAACGTTGTGCAAAACTTTCGCCAGCACGCTGAGTAAACCAAGCAGTGACCAGTGCATTCTCTTAATGGAGTGGAAGATGACGGATCACGCAGAACGGTGCACCTAATGGAAGCTCGAATTTGAACATACAGCTAAGTACAGGCTAATAAAGGTGTCATCGTCATCATTATACACATTAGCTAGAGGTAGGAAACCCCTTAGCTACTGTGCCGCAATACATAAAGGAAAACGAAAAGAAATACAACAGTTGCATGCCAGCTGAGCTACCAGCAACGGGTAGGTATCGTTCCGGAAAGCTACCAGCCGGCTATTAGGCAACAAGAAAAAATTATTATGTAAAAGTATATTACGCTACGAAATGAGATCGTGGTTGGGGGGGAGGCTAAAAGGGATAGGGAGGGACAAAGAAACTCACAGCAGGAACGCCACTGAGGTCGGCTCCTTGCCATATCAGCAAGTGTATCTAGCCAAACGTGTTCATCATCTTTTGGACCCCAACCAGGGAGCCGTGAAGCTCCAACCTATGCCAGCTCCGAAGTGAGGGCCTTCATTCATCTAGCCCAAGTCATCGCTTGGCTACCCCTCTTCTTCCATCCACACCCCTGGTGAGGCGTGGTGTGCACTTAATAATGAAGTACTAACAAACAAGAGTGCCCAGTCAGCAAACTTATTTTTGCGCCTCGTCATTTGTTTGAGCTGCATAACGTAAAAATGCATTATCTCATGACGGACTCCATTACCTTGTTGCTTATGATGTAGATTATTGCGTCTGCTTGTGGTGCTACGGTTGTTTGAAGTGTGTGCTGGGAGAAGTTGTTTCAACTCCGAAATATTCATACCGCGGTCACCCGGGGTTTTATGAATGTCTGGGAGATGCTGTCTTGAGTTCCTTACCACTAACAGATTGTGTCGAGAGTTGCTTTTTCGTTTCTCTTTAAACGTGCTCCCTAAGTGCTCACGAGTGACTCCGGCTTACTGATTATTCCGGAGTGGATATTTTTCCAAGTGATCGATTAAGAAAGGTTGGGGTACGCCAGTGACATTTATCTGGATGGATGGACGTAGCACCTAAGCTAAAGTAGCTGAGCATGCTGGTACAGAGTAGCACTCATGTTAGTGTGCTCTCCCCTCACTTAGATTGGAAGTGTCAAAAGATAGACGAAGAGACTACAAATTCCGTGTTTCATTGAACAGTCATTCAAAACGGCACGTCGGATCGCAGATACAGGCTGGTGCCCCATTTCCAAAAATTCGAATCACCAACAAAGTGATTACACACATCCTTAAGGTTCGGCCGATTTTGATAGACTTAGATGGTTGTAGCTAAAGCCAGACATCAATAGGCCCGATGGCAAAACGCGCTACAGTACGACACTACCGGTGTTACACTGGATAGATAAAGGACATGTTCACGGCATGATGAAGACCTATGGAGACCGAGAGCGACGAATTGTTTCGTTCGGAGAGCACTGAATGAATACTAAGGAAGTCCATCAGTTGGCACGAGCCACTGAGGCGCTGAAGTCCCAAGGGATTACCATAGAATTCAAGCCGCCTGCGTCAGTTTCCACAATTCGGATAAAGTAGTAAACCTTATGCAAGTAGGTATTGGCGGTGTTGTGCAATAAAAGGATCACCACGCTTCAGCAAAAGAAACAAAGCAGATATGCCATGTTTTGTATAATCACCGGGACAACTCAGTCAGCCAGTCAGTGCACATCCGAAAAAGCACTAGGCAATTGTTTTATTCTCTCGAGAAACATCAGTAGTGCACGTTCCATTAGTCCCGTGTGGTGCTTGAACCAGTGAAACAGATGCACATATGCTGGAAGCGTGCATGGCAGTGCAGAAGGAGTGTACATGTTCCATCACAGTTAGTGACATAGACACGCGGTCGCAGCTTTTGTATCTGGCCAAGTGGTCTTCCCCACGGATACCTATGTGGTTGGGGTTACGGAAGGGTGAAACGTCCGTCCAGTGCGTTTTCGGATGTGCGGTGGCTGTCGGACTGAGTGTGGCCGTGACGAGCCTGTAACAAAAAATTCAACTCAGTTTCAACCTTACAGTAGTCTATGAAAATAATATGCTACTTTGCCTTTAAGTATGCGTCAGCAGTGAGACCGCAGTTAGAGGGGAGTAGACAGGAAAATTCACAACAGAAACATCACTGAGGCCGGTACTTTGTCGTGCAAACAAGTGTTTCAAGCCAAACGCGTTCATCGTCTTTCGGGCCCAAATGCGATAATCGAGACACCAATCGGGGCCAAGTTAGCGGTGAGGACTTTCATCCCCTTTCGCCAAGTCATCAGTTGGTCTCTCCTTCGCTTGTTCCACCCAGACCTCCCCCAAGCAAACAACGCGTGTCGCGTGAGTCGGTGTACTGGTTTTCGTGGCACATGGCACGGTCATTAAAGCCTGGTATGTAAAACAAGGGAACTGAGCGGTTCAATTGCTCTTCCCGTGCCACAACACGGCGGAGAACGCCCTCATTGTCCGCACGATGTTCCTACTAGGTATAAGCCAAACTGTGTGGGCACCGATAGCCGAACGCAACTAGCCTCTTTATGTCTGTCGATCTGATAGGCCAGTTTTCCCCACCGTACATTAAGGTTGAAAAGAGGGCTGCTCTGTACACTTTAGTATTCAGGAGGAGAATGACGTCGCGCCTGCACACTAGGTGACGTAGCTGAGCAAAAACACCCCCAACCTTTGCTAGATGCTTTACCAGTTTACTTTCTATTCCACAAGCTCAGGTACAGCTGACCATAAAGTTACGTGTTATGAACAAGGCATAGCTGATCATTACCAAGGTTTTTATGCATGGGACGAATCCTGCCAACCTAGGAGCATAACTTTGCGTTTGGAGGATGCAAAGTAAAGTCTGAAACAATTGACTGCCAGTGGTTACGTGTGCAGCCTTGCGTGACACATTTGTAAGCTGTCACAACTTAGGATAATATCATCGGTGTACTCCAAGTCAGGTAGTCGATCACCTGGGAGTAACTCCACACGTTTTGAGTCTTGGCTGGTGAACAGTTTCCATACATCCAGCAGTGGTGAAGTTGAACACGAAAGGTGATAGCGGGCAATTCTGACACATACCACTAAATACATTGTGAGGTAACGACCGCCTGCAAGACGCCTCAATCTGCCATAGACACGCGCGTCAGACGCTCGCGTCAGACGCTCGCAGTATCTTTATATCATCCTCTGATATATTTTATGGTTAAACATTTCCAGTAAGCACATCGGCCCCCCAATCGAAAGCACCTTTGATGTCCAGGAACACAAATACAGTGGATCATCAAGGCAGAGATTAATGCGGTCTCGATTCCGATGAAACCCGGTCGACTCTTCATGAATCTAGCTTGTACGGGATTAGTCAGTCGATGAAGAAGGACAGATGAAAGTAAACTGTGGACCACAGAGCTCATACCGATACCTCTATGAGCACTGCATTCCGAAGGTGCGCCACGTTGAGGACCAGGACAATAACGGAGAATCTTCAGCCAGTTAGAACGGTTTCTTGTTACCTGTTTCATCATCAAACATACGAAGTGTCTACAAGATCTGGTCCCTCAAATTCGAAGAGCAAGTGTATCTGGTCCAGCGGTTTGGTACAATTTCAGCAACCTGAGCATAATATCTTTTTTTACCATGAGAGGGTGGACCCAATGAGTCGAACCAGCGAGCAGGACGATCACTGGTGAGCAGCGAATTGGCGGTTTCCGCCAAATTAAGTTGCTTTTCATAGGGCTCGTTCCAATGGTCCAAGCGTTTGGACGGCTTGTTGATAGGCTATGAGATCGAGTCGCATGTATTTTCGCTGACATTAAGTCTCCTGCTGCGCTTTCCACCTATAAGATGAGATAACCGTATGGTAAGAGTACTCACAAATTCCATCTGCTCATATAAATTTGATTTCACCTGACGAGTTGCTGAAGCTTCTTGAACAGAAACCATAAGACTGACCATATCATTTTAAGAACCATTGTCATTCCCGTGCCCTTGCTTCACCGTGCCTCCAATGGATTTATGCAGCCCGTCTTTTCGATTCACCCCTTAGCGCATTATTACCTTTCTGCTCTTTAATCTATCTTAGTACTGTTTATGCTATATGAGGAACGACAATGGAGCTGGACATGATGACAGTGTTTCGTTGTGAGGCAGCTGATGTCGCGGACCATGTGAGAGATTGTGCGCATGTAAAATTGTGTAAATTGATTACTTACAGGTAGTTCCCGGAATTGGTCGTTGTAGTCGATCGCATACCCAACTATAAAGCGGTTTGGAACTTCAAATCCAACATCTAGAATAAAAATAACGATACCTCAGTGTGTGATATGTGAAAAGGTAAGCATGTGAGGGAAGTGTAATTAGTGATCATAAAGCCAGTCGGTAAGTAATGCAGACATGCTATGCAGTTTAACTAAATAAATGAGTTCTGAGGACAAATGAGCGGCTTTGACAGCACATGATTAGGCAAGTGCTGTTGGCATCTTAGGAACCATATTCTGCTTAAAAGGAATTTAGAAGTGCGGAAGATAACATTAGCAGACACACCGTTTTGTACCACCAGGGTAGAGAGTTGGTTGACGCACAAATGTCATGGGAACAAGTAGAAGAGCACAGCTTTTCAGCCACAGCTGCGAAAGTAGTTGTAAGTTCAGTATAACTCATGAATAACGATCGAAACGTACCTCATAAAGTTGTTTAGGTAGTTAAGAGTATGGTATGTGTCACGCTTTGAAAGATGCAGCTAATTAGCGGGAATGCTGCATATGTTGAAATAGAATAAACAGGCCGCTTAAAAAGTTTACGAAATATGAGTTAATTAACTGTAAGTTCGTCGCACCAGGTTCCAAATCAGATAGTCCTCCACATACCCGGAAAAGCACTAGACTGCAGTTTCAACGTGTTTGGCATCATCAGTAGTGCGCATCCAACCGATCCATCAGGATTCGAACCTATGAATACCAGCGGCTTGCTACAGCGCGCGTCGTGTATTTCGGGATCAACACTGTCCTCTGCAACGTTCGTAACTTGCATGTCAGTTGGCTAGTAAATCGTGACGGTCCGACGCTGTCTCCTAGTGGCCCGGTGGTATAAGCTGCTGACTGGCGGTGCAAGTCGATGGTGATCATAGGTTTGAATCATGATGCATCCGAGGGATGCGCACTATTGATGATGCCAAACAGGTTGTAACTGTACGCTAGTTCTTTTCCAAGCATGTGAAGGACTATCTGATTTGGAAGCTGGTGTGACGAACGCTCAATTAAGTAAATCAAAAATCCTCTGCTCAGAAGTAAGATCTGTTTGAGGAAATAGGGGACAATAATAGTGTCAAGCCAGAGGAATACTGTAAAGTGCTCAGGTCAACACATTGGAATCAACAGAATCAAGTTCTTCATTCTTTTATCTGACTTGGATTGGGCATTACTCAGATCGAGACTAAACCAAGATAGCAAGACAGGTGCCTCTGGCTGGCAGCGGAAACCGTGCGATGGACTCACAGCAAAAGCAGAAAACCACCGTGCTGGCACTGAACCATTGAATCGTAACAAAATTCTTTGCTTATGCAACCTTTCAAGCGTAGGCAAGCAGCAACAAAACCTACAGAAATGTAAATGGTAACAAAAGCTGTTTTGGGGCGTTTGTGAACTCCGGTTTGTGTCACATTACTAAGTAAAAGGCTGTCGTTATAAATACGATTGTCAGTAAAGCGGTAAAATAGACCGTGGAAACTTCGGCGGGTAAACAATCACAGATGACCTCCGCAGTATGGTATCAATGTTGGGCGCATTTTGAACATGGGTCTGCGTCGGACATTAATGGTCATAAGGTCATGCGGTGCCGGGATAAAACGTGTAAGCTTGATACACGCGCATAAACCACAGGGTTGTGGTACCTTCAAGCCTCAACCCATTTGTCAACATAAAGCATGCGCTTTGGTTGATCCGTGTTGCGTACATAGAACGTGGATAACAACCGCTGTCTTGTCCCCTGAAGAAACACGCCTCAAGAGGAGTGGCCGTGCTACTCTAAGACTCGTCCATTTGCTCTCGGGAGGAATTTGAAACAAACGGAGTATCTTTTCATCCAAGTATGAAAAGCCACTACACAAGCACACGGAAGCGGAAACAGTCCCGATGAACCCTTAGTAATGGTACGTTGTTAGTGCTGGTGGTAGCGAAAAAAAGTAGAAGGCCAAAATTGGTCACGTGATGCGATATTCCAAGCGCAACGTAAACTCAACCGTGGTAAGCAGCTGGGCGACTCACCAGTCATCAAGAGTGACCTATTCTGCATCGGTGAAAAAGCTTTACCCGCATACCCTTTTAGGTAGATGGCGCAAAGCTTTTGGGTTGGTGACCAGCCACGGTTGAAACGGCTGGGTGCATGACATGCTTGCAAGATTTGCATTTTTAGGAATGCACAACATACCGGGACTAAAAATCAAACGGGTAACGCGGCCACCTTGGGAGAATAAACTCCGTTCATAGCTACAAAATATACTAGTATGCAAAGCTATAGGAACATGCTGACCACACAGTGCACCACATTTAGTCCATCGAAACATGGCGTGGGATACATGGTATTCTGCATGAGTTATTGGCAACTGCAAGCCAGCGTCCATTAACCTCAGCTTAGCTTAAAAATTGACTTAATTACTAATTAAGTGGTTACTAATTACCTAATAACTCCAATGCGCATTGTATACAAACTGATAATCATAATTAGTATAAACGCAGGTGTAATGGAACTGTTCGATGACGAATTAAAAGTGATTCGCAACGCAGAAGAAAACAGGGCAAAACAAAAGCTTTACGACTTATAGAAGTAAGGTCGTGATCTGGTTTTGAGTTACTGAAATAGGCAATGTTATTGAATGAAGTGCAATGTAGATATCCTTCATATGGAACGATCCCGAATAAAAGAATAGTTAGAAAAATTGATGCCGTCGGATAATAACTGGATGAGGGCACTATGGGATTGCTTTCATTATAGCTGGCAAACTTACAGTTCCAGGGAGTACAAAAACAAGCCTAAAAGGACGACTACTGCATTTTTGTCGGAAATGTACGGATTGCATCGGAGGTATTTCAGTCGTATTAATCGAAGCGGAAACAGCGAATGGAGGAGAGGGCAAAAGATAACTAAATAAGTCATGCTGGTGCAAAGGATTAAATCAGTACTTACAATCTGGCTTGAAAGGAAGACAATCCGGGCGACGTTTCACGAGAAGGCTAAGTGAGACATGAGAGGATACAAAGAAAACACGTGCCGTAATGAACTGGGGGTCGTTAACGAGGAGAAATTTGGGATTACTTTTAAAAAGGTCGAATGCTTAGGTGATATTCAGGGTAGCTCATAAACTTCGTAAAGCAGTACATGTGTTGCAACGTGCAAGTAGGCCGTGAGAAGCTGGCCAGAATTCGCATTGCGCAATGCTATGGACTTAATCAACTACGTGTCTTCAGGAAGCGATCGGTAGCCTCATATAGCTAGTAGAGCTTGCTTTAGGAAGCAACTTATATTAAGTAGGTTAGCTTTCAGTGGATTTACGTATTACTTTACTCAAGAAAACTGAGTTACTTGGTCCATCGGCAAACTAAAATGTATGCATTTGCGCTTTAACTGGTCTCATACCGCATTGCTTTTTATGACGGCTCGCGGTGGCGTCATGGTTGTTTTCTAACGGCATCAATAGAGCAAATATAAACTGGATGGTTTGGTTAAACTCTCTCCATCGCCCTGTTAACCGATTCCTGAGTTGTTAGTGTGTGATAATTACTAATAACCCGCTGAGTATGCTAAAAGCTCTCACTTTCACTGCTTTCAACAATATCCCGACGAGTTTCGCCAACTTTTCGTTGATCCCTCTTTCTCTGTGTTGTATTTTCATACAACCTCACTTTCTTGCTACTGCTATTTGTTGTTGTCATAGATATATCAAAATTCAGTGTTCGAATCGTAACTGTTTAACTGAGCCTTCTACGATAGAGTATAAAGTCAAATACAACTAAGATCTAACAGTTAAACGGTAGTTGTATAACGGCATGTAATGAGGTGTGGCCTGGAGATTAATTTACAATAAATGCTAATTGGCAGAGAGTAAAACTCACACGCGATAGTAAGTAAGCATAAAGGGAGCAAGGAGCTAACAAATGCAGCCGAAGACTAAAATCAGCAGGGGCAGAGACCTGAAGATTTAGGGAAGCGTATGATAAGACTAACAAAAGACATCCGAAAAACACGGGAATTGCAAACAGTCAATGGTGTGTTGGTCAAGTAGCAGAAGCCGGAACATGGCTATGGATGCTATGCGAGGTGTGGCAAATGAGCTTAATTACTGATTACCTGGCAACCTGAATGGAGCGCGGGGACAGTTTCTGAAGGTAGGTTGTCAAGCTGCGCAAAGTGGTGCCTGTATCGGTGAGATCTTCGAGAATCAGAAGATCCTACATGAAAAAGAAGACGCGCACGCCATGCAAAAGCATGAATAAACAAAAGTATTTCTATAACCAGAAGCGCACAACATATGTTTCTCTTAGTTTACATTTCACGCAGTCATGTGTGTTTAAATTTTTACGGAACGGTAACCCCAGGATGCGAGTTAGGACAGTAATGCAGATATTAAAATATTACCTGTGGCTGGCCTGGAAAACAGGGAACATTGAGTAGCGCTAAGGTTTCGTTTGTCAGATGTGCCATTAAGGATCTGCTTGAAATGAAGTTTTTACAACACCCAAAGGTGTCACTAGACTAGCTCAGTAGGAGTACGAATCAACACACAATGTCACGTTTCGGTTTTGTCAAGAGGAGAAAGTGTTAACATCGCTCTCTGATCCACGTTTCCACTGTATCTAAATTCTAAAATAGCTTACGATATTTACACATTCACACCCGGTGATCGACACCCAAAAGAAAAGGTTTCTATGGTAAAATGGATTACGTTGTTTCAACTTCAACGAGCCAAACTAGTGTGGAAGTGTAACGCTGCGGTGCAAAGCCGGTTAAATAACACCATTACATTGTGATAAAGGCAAAAGAACGGTAAAGGGCTCCGTGCGTTGTGTTAACCGTAATCACTGAATCTGATATCAAAGTATCGTATACTCGGTATTATATGGACAGGAAACTTGCACATGCTTGTGACAATGTACGATGGTTTGGTGACTTCAGCATAATTCATAATAATAGACAAGCTGATGTGCGGATATCAGGTAAGGATATCACAACCATGTACCCATAGAAACAGTGCAGCGCTGAGTTGTTCACCTTCCACTGCTAACTCTAGCAGTATGCAAAGTTTGATGGACATAAAACTTATCAAAAGTAGCATGTGTGATCCAAATTCAACGGGTGTCGCGCACCCACACTAATATCATAGAGCACTTCCAACAGTAAACCGCACAGTTAATGTATTCAACGCAATGTACTGATATGCAACATTGTGTTACCAACTGACCGCTTCACCAAGTTTGGCCTGTCGGTGTACACACAATCTGGGAAAGCATCAAGGTTACTTGTGACAAGGAGTTAGAAAAATGCACAGCAACTACAAATGCACAGTCACTTTGGTATGAGTCGATTCGTGCCTAAAAATGTTGGAGTTGGTGGCATAGGTGATCAGCGGTCTCGCTAGGTATAGCCCAGTCAAATGATTAGTGACAATTTTGGGTAGTTTAGTATATTAATGACTGCTACTCTTCCTACCAACTGACTCCGAGGTCTGCCATTTTTGTCTGCGCTAAGTTATTACAGTTTATTCCTTATGGCAGTATTGCAAACGATTCTTGACAATTAGCGTGACTGGATGCAAGCCACTTCTGCCCTTTTTAATCATCTAGCCTTAACACTTCTAGATAATAAAACAATAACGGTGTGAGCTAAGGCACTCTAATCATGCTCTAGTATACTGTAGATTTACTAACACGCCTAAGAAAGTGTTGTTTCTCTAGAGTACTAACTGAGAGACTTTCACAGTTTTAGTTAAAGTAAACTAAAAAGCGTACCCTGTGTTCCGAGTTCCCTTCAAACTGCTGTAAGGATATGAGGCTTCAGTAGAATATTATTCCCGTCTCTATGAACGACGCAAGGGTTTTGTTTGGGGTACTGTCTGTTTTATCCCCTTACCCTGGGTACCGAGCGGAACATAAATTCAGATGGAATAATCCTGCGAAGATATAGTGATTAGGTGAGAGTTAAAACGGAGTTTGTAAATGAGAAAGGATGTCTGGTGGAATCAGATGGTCGCGACAGCAAGGAAAGACCGTAAGGCAAGCATAACACACTTCTTTAGCTGTTCAGCATTACTGGTCCAAGGACGCTATTTGTCACTGAAGGACTATGCATAGCATCAGTGCACTAATTCAGCGTAAGGAACGTAATGTCTCACTAGGCAGAATGGCGAAAAAGCTTCAGATGGTTTTGTGTTACTAACACTAGTGAATTCGGATGGTTCAAGTTTGGTCAAGATGGTTAAGTATAGATACCTATTGGGGTGCGACGCAGTTTCATTGGTGGATCTAAGGCGACCTCGTGTCTTACCTCATCGATGCATAAGGCGTATTGCTGGTGTGAAGGGACATTTGCGTGGCCGCAGCTATTAATTGCATAGGGTCAAAAAATAACTTCGAATAAGTTGTGTTAACTGTGGCACGTGCTGCACACGCCTGCTCGACACTTAGCAAAGAGGGCAAATGTTTCGCTTGCATGGTGTATGATAGTGCAACTCTCAAGATATCAAAAGTCGGCTTGGCAAAAGTAATAAGGTTAATGATGAGTAAACCGGTGGCTGATGATATTTAGCGTCTTCCGGTAAGGAATGCATACAAGCTAACTAGAGCTTGAGTTGATAAGTTACAGAAGATAGTTCGCAGACTACAGTAATAACGCAATTACAGCCGTTTATTTGTTAGCAATTTACTAAAGCGTGTCTGATACTGAATGGTTTACGGAGTGATGTAGAATTTTAAGCGGGGTAACTAAACAACAGGGAAGCTGTCTTAGTGATGCCATCCTATTCTTGCGCATCAGGCAGATGAGATTGACACGGTGCAGATACCGCGAAAAGGTATTTCTTTTAATGGTATTATAGCATTCGCATTGCACAGGTTGCAATGAACACATGACAGCAGTGCAACATCCCGCTTATTGAGATGCAGCTGCTACTGGTGACATATCCCTCAGAACATACCCGTTTGCAAAATGACACTTAGCTGCATCAGTACGTAAGCACTGTCGGTTACTAAAGTGCTTAAGCCACAGCTTGCCATACATGAGCAAATAGTAACGCAAATCTTTTCACAGAGTCTGGGTGTGTTAAAGCTTAGTTGCATAGAAGAGTTTACTGTAGTGTCATATGCCATTTGTTTACCTAAAGGCGGCTTACACAACTTGAATATCGATGTGATGCACGGGTTGAACCTAAGATGGAAGGACTAATTTTGCTCCACAACGCACGTGCTTCCTACCACCAAAAGTATTAACTAGCGTAAGCAACGCCAACAAATTTCGTCCGAGACAACCCCTACATTACATGTTAAACAGAATTCACACCAATGTTCAGTGAGTAATCCTGCCCTCAGCTAGCCTAACTAAACAAATAAAGAAGAGTGGTAGTTAACCGACCGAATGAAAGAACTATGTTGTGGAACAGTGCACAACATTATACATGATGCAATAATACTTGTCGGCCACGAGGTTGCTCAAAAAACGCAGGCAACCGAAAAGATTGTCACGAGCTGAATGCCTCACTAATCTAACGAGCACAGAGGTCCGCATATCAAACATGAAGCTAAGTTCAATTTGGGACGAGCACAAGAGGAAAATCCTATGGGCATACTTTCTTGAGTGCGTCATGGATCCGGGACAGAGTTCAGGAGAGGTGAGCCAAAGTTATACATACAAAATAGATAACGGTCAAACAATCGATGCCCACGCGGCCTGCACTAGGAGTCCCCGCTGTATTGGTCAAGTAACTTAGAATAAAGAATAGAAGGGAGACAACAAAAAGGACGATTAAGATTTTAATAAACGGGAATAGTAGCAATTATAGTCGGGGAAATGAAGAAAGTTAAGCGCCAAAAGAAGTTGGGTGCTACATCCCAGTGGCATCGAATCGATTTTTCAAAGACCCTCACAGTCGGTGCTAGAACTACAACGTTGGGTAGTGCACTTCACTTCTCTACGACCCTATGGAATAAACGAAATATGGGCCTAATGCGATGGGATCTAGGCTTGTGAAGCTTCAGTAAATGGCTCCGAATGGTTAGCTTCTGAGTGGGATGAACCAGCCGGGATAGATCAGGCCCAATCTAGCCCGTCATTATATGATCCGTAAGAAGTATGTCACCCCGAAGGCGCCTTTAGCGCAGCGATTACACCTGTAATCTGAGCAGCCTATCGGAATACGAATGATTTCTCTACAAGTGCATCATTTTTGTGCCCGTGCTCAAAACTCATTTAACTGCCACCTTGCCGCGGACTATGCATAGCGAACAGGCCTGCACGCAGTACTTTAAATATGGTCTAACAAAGGCTGAGGACAATATAATGAATATCTCCTTTGTTGTGATCCCAAGCAAACTGCGGATCGTCCACAGCATTCGGAAACCTTTGAGAGCAGCTGCATTCCAGTTCTTATTGGATTTAAAGAGAGAGGACAGAGAAATACCTAAATCGATTTGATGAGTCTTCTGCAGCACTACATTTCCGCCAAGTAGGTAACAAGTGGGTGTACTTGATCCTATGCGTAGGACCGAGCAGTTGGTAAGATTTACCGGCAGCTGTCACAAATCTAAAAGCTTATCAAATGTTATCTGTAAAGTCAAGCTGCTTTCTGGACCGTTCAAAGGACTCCAAAATTTTAGAGAATAAATGATCAGTTGATCATATCAGGTAGATCAGTAACATAAACTGTGGACAGCAGTGGGCCGAGAACCGGCCCATGTGGAACACCATTCGGAACGCTTTGTTGGAGACAGCCTGGAGCCAACACGAATGCTTATCGCTTTGCCATCTAGGAATGCCGAAATTCAGTTCAAAACTCGGCCAGAAACGCCATAGGACCTTCGTTTAAACAGAAGGCGACAGTGTGAAACAGTGACAAAGGATTTGAAAAGTCTATGAACAAAACGTTTACCGCCTGTGCTAAATCTACAGTCTTAGCACAGCATTCCCGGGCCACCAACATCATCATCATCATTATACATGTCAGCTAGAGATGGTAAAACACCTCCGCTATTGTACCGCAATACATAAAGGAAATATATACATACATACAATACATAAAGAAAAAAAATAAATACGACAGTTGAATGCCAGCTGAGCTACCAGCAACGGATAGGCATCGTTCCGGTAAGCTACCAGCCAGCTACTAGGCAAAAAGAAAAATTTAATTACGTTTTACCCTAAGAAATAAGATCGTAGATGGAGGGGGAGGCTAAAGGGATGGGGAGGGACAAAGAAACTCACAGCACGAACGCCACTGAGGTCGGCTCCTTGCCATATCAGCAAGTGTATCCAGCCAAACGTGTTCACCGTCTTTTGGACCCCAACCAGGGAGCCGTGAAGCTCCAACTGAGGCCAGCTGCGAAGTGAGGACCTTCATTCCTCTGGACCAAGTCATCGCTTGGCCACCTCTCCTCTTCTTCCACCCACATCCCCGGTGAGCAAACAACGCACGTCGAGGGAGTCGGTGGGCTGGCATGCGCAACCCGTGGCCCAGCCATCGGAGCCTGGTGCGTGAAATAACGGTGCTGAGCGGTTCATTCCCTTTTCCTAGGCCGTAAACAAGGCGTCGAACACGCTCGTTACTCACGCGGTGTTCCCACCAGATGTGAGCCAAACTGCGAAGGCACCGATGGTCGAACGTAAGTAGCCTCTTCATGTCTGCCGATCTTAGGGGCCAGGTTTCGCAACCGTACAGTAAGGTCGAACGTACCGCTGCATTGTACACTCTACCCTTCAGGGCGAGAGTAATGTCGCGCCGTCTCCATAGGTGGCGAAGGTTAGCAAAAGCACTTCGAGCTTTCGCTATGCGGTTCGTGATCTCGTCTTCGATCCCAAGGGCGCTGATACAACTTCCCAGGTAATTGGATTTCTGAACGACTTCTAGCTGATCCCCACCAAGGGTCAGCACAGGGGGCGAACCCTGCCAATCCTGGAGGAACGCTTTGCACTTCGGTGGTGCAAAGCAAAGCCCGAAGCGGCTGACAGCCAGTGCTAATCTGTCCAGCGCGGCTTGACACGTCTGGGAGCTGTCACAGATGAGGGCAATGTCGTCTGCATACACTAAGTCAAGAAGTCGTTCTCCTGGGAGTAGCTCCACACCTTCCAAGTCATGTCCTGTAAATGCAATCTCCATGACTTCGTCAATAGAGAAGTTGAATAGGAAAGGTGACAGCGGGCATACTTGTCTCACACCGCTGGAGATATTGTAGGGTGGCGACAGCCTGCTGTAAGCCCTTACTCTGCCCGTGCTACGCGCATATAATGCTTGGATAATATTTACATATTTCTCGGGCACACCTTTCCTGAGTAGACAATTCCAAAGGGCACATCGATCAACCGAATCGAAGGCACCTTTGATGTCGAGGAACACGACTACGGTGGGCCGCCAATATGTGTGATGGTGCTCCAACAACTGACGCAAGGTGAAGATGTGGTCCATGCAGCCACGACCCCGACGAAACCCGGCTTGCTCCTCACGAATCTGGCTTTCACGAGCGCCAGTCAGTCTGTGGAGAATTATGGACGCGAGTAATTTGGAGGCGATGGAGATCAGACTGATTCCTCTATGGTTGCCGCATTCCGAGCGCGAGCCGCCTTTGAAGATGGGAACAATAACGGAGCGGCTCCAGTCGGTTGGGACAGTTTCCTGCTCCCACAGTTTCACTAGTAATTCATGCAAAGCATCAGCAAGAGCAAAGCCTCCAAATTTGAAGAGGGCTGGAGGAAGATCATCTGGTCCCGCGGCTTTGTTCAACTTCAACAGTCCGATCTCACGTTTGACTTCTGAGCGAGAGGGTGGATCCAAAGGGACAGCCCACGGAGAATGGCGAACACTGGCCGGTGGGGAATCGAACAATGTCGGCCGATTAAATTGCTTTTCAAAATGCTCAGCCCAACGCTTCAGACGTTTTGACAAATTGTGGATAGGCTGTCCACTCTCGTCACGTATAGTTTCACTAACACCAGGTCTCCTGCTGCCCGTTTCCCGTATCAGACGGAATAACTTACGATGGTTGCCAAGGGCAGCGGCCACTTCCACCTCTGACGCACGATGAGACCACCAAGATTCGCGGTCTCTCTTCAGACTAGCACGGAGTTTGGCCCGGAGCTCTTTGCGAGTTTCATTGTGCTCGCTTCCAGCCGGGATTTGCCGGCGAGGATCTATAAGTTCCAAAGACTGCGAAGAGACCCAATGTCCATGTTGTCTATTAGACATACCACATGCGGATTTGCCTGATGCTAGAGGAAGGTCTGGCGAACATGTGACCAGTGACCATCAATTGTCTCCTGTGAGCGCTTGCTCAACTCGCATGTTAGCGTACTTCGATACGCATTCAGAACAGCTGGTTTTGTCAGTTGGCTGATGTCAATATGCTCACAGCGTCGTCGTGGGCGTCCGCCAAAACGCATCCGCATGTCAGCACATACAAGTGCATGATCGGTGTCCACACCTGTGCTCCAAATCGAGCGACAGTTCTGGATGCAGCCTCTCCAGCGGTAACTTATCGCAATGTGATCGATCTGCGTGCAAGGCTGGTTCGAGGTTGGTGGGCGCCAAGTCACCCTTCGGCGGGTGCTGTGTCGGAAATTAGTGCTCGCAAGAAATAAGCGAGCATCTTCACACAAACGAAGTAACCGCTCACCGTTATCATTACGGGAGCCTACACCGTGTTGACCGCCCAGATGCAGTTCATCAGTGGACAACTTTCCAACTTGTGCGTTCATATCCCCCGCTAGCACAACAGTGTCTGTGCTTCTTCTGTGGCGAAGGAGCAGGGTCAGTTGGCGGTAGAAGTCGTTCTTTACCGAATCATCGCTACAGTTTGTGGGCGCATAGGCAGCGATGATGAATAGACATTTATTAGTCCCGCGCGACTTCGAAGCTTTAAACGAGCCAACCAATCGGACCGCACACATCCGGCTACTGATTGGAATCCAATCAACCAGAGCAGCTTCAGCCCGGGGACTCAGGACAATACCAACACCGGCTTGGCCGGTGCTCGAAGCTGCATCGTCACCGGATAGGCGCAATGAGAAAATACTGCTTGCGTCCCCTGAAGGGGATCGCAGAGTGAGCACAGTGCTCGAGTCTTGCAGGCGAGTCTCTGATAAGCAGCAGATATCGATCGAGAGGGTCTCCAATGTTCGGGCAAGTGCTGCCTGTTGACCGATTTGTAGCAGTGTGCGTACATTGAGGCATGCCAATCTGAAGGAGGATTGAGGGCTCCAAATGGAAGCCGATGAACTGGATTGGACCGCTTGGTTGGACATGGGCTTGTCGACAGGAGAGGAGTGACGCTCCGCGTTCACATGTGAGTTGAAATTAGAAGGTAAATGCCTAGCAAAGCATGTTGGGGGAGGGCCAAGAATCGGGGGGTTGAAAACTGGGGGGATATAAGTGAAGTTGGAATGGGACGGTAAGAGTGAAAAAGCGTAAGAGGGGGAATAAGAAGACGGGAAGACTTGAGCAGTAGCATCCAAACCCCTATCCACCCTGCTCGATGCAGCAGATAGGGCACCGTTTATTATCCTCTGCGGTGGCCAGAGCATCAAGAAATTGTTTGAAGGAAAATTCATAGTATTGCGTGGGCAGGATACTGTCAGGTTGCCCAGGCCTAGACAGGAGAACGATTAGGGTTCTCAACCAAAGCCTTTAGTTCAAAAACCTGACCGCAAGGCAGCGGGTTTGGCGTTGGGCTACAAGGAGTCCATTTTAAGGAATAAGGTGCCACCCTCATTCCAACCCCCAACCTGGAGGACCAGGAGGCTGAGTTTGTCTGGCCTCTAACCATTGACCAATCTGGTATGAGTGACTCTGAAGGTGCAAAAGCACCACCCAGCGTAGCTCAATGGATCGCTGAGGCACACAAACCATCGCACCACGGTAAGGTCCAGCCTCATTGCGATGGGGGCCACCAACAAGTTGTTCAAATAAGGATAACCTCTGCATAACTCATGCTGAGACAAGCTGAGCAAACTGAACATAACTACTTGCTTTCCGAGAGCATCTCTTACCAGGATGCGTGTCAGGCTAACTGATCTGTAATTCTCAGCGAGGTGTTTATCATCATTTTTGAAAACAGGACATAAGATAGAAGCAGTTACAAAGAGAACCCCAAAAAGCTATGTGGTCAGTTTGTACAGCACATCGGCCAGCTCGTACAAATGCTTAAGATGCATGGCGTCTAACCCGGCAGATTTGGTAGGATTTAGTTCACGCAGCAGCGTGAGCATCTGAGTTTCCGAGATGAAAACCTCCGTCAGGAAAGTCAACTCGAATCTTTGCAAATGACCAACCAGATTCCGGTAAGCTAGTTAAGTGCCAACGATACTATTTGTTCAAAAATTACCGATTGTCTGAATGATACTTTTGTAAATCACAGCGAATCTAGCCTTCCTAATAGGTTTGATTGTTGGTAAATGTCATGTCCAAGTCATAAAGAAGAAAAATACTCTAAAAACAAAAACACCTGTTGTGGGAATATCGGTGCCATATTTGTGGTTTGTGGTTTTAAATGCTTACTTTGTCGTGAAATTTGCTCGGGTTCGTACACACTTTGATATCAGTGTCATGGGCGACGTCGTCATTCTGAAAAAAGACGCACGCCGCGTGAGAAAATCAAAACTTACCACGTAAGTGCTAGCAATGATAAACTCTATGTGAATAGAAATCTGTCGGGAGGTGTTGTGAATCACAGATTCGAGATTTTCACTCAAGTCAGATGCGAATTTAAATCCACCTTTTAATACGCAAACGAGTGTTAATGAAGTAGACCCCATCCGATCAAGCGTGTCTAAAATGTCAAGGGCCAGCTTTTTCAATCTGCATTGTTGACACGGTGAAACGCATGGTTACTTACCTATCTTTAACCAAACCATTAGGAACAAGGATACCCTCTATGAACGGACGATACCGTGGTAGTAAGCAGAACTCATCAGGAGAATATCCTGGAAAGCTATCTGGTATCTATAAACGTTAGACATGATAAAATGGTGGACTGACGACCACAACACCACGGAAAGAGTCGGCAGGACACATTTTTCGTCGAGCCGCAAACCTGGGTCAGTTAATGCATATGACAAAAGCGATAAGTTCAAACAAAAGCATGATGCTTTCGCAATTGCTAACAAAATCTACAACTGTTTATTTACATGGCTAACATCATACAGTGGTTTGCAGTTTCACAAAGTTGGTCATCTAGTAGTCGTTCGTTCAGCTGGCCTGTCGAACTCCTCGTGGTTCTAGCTGGTAGCAGGCAGTTCTTCTACCCGTTATGTTGGGCAGATTAAAGAGAAATTCGCAATGTAAACGTTTAATTCGATTGCACCTGATTTTGTGAATATAGGTAGCCTCATCCACTGACCAGATTGAAGCCACCAAGCGGCGGCTTGGCTGCGATAGACCAACTATCAAACGCTTGCGCCAGGCTTTGTGAATAAAGCTAGCATGGTTCATAGACCAGAAGAGCGTTACCAAGCGGTGACTTGGGTGAGATAGACCAAGTACCAAGCGCTTGCACCTGGCTTTGTAAACTAGGTAGCGTCATCCATGGACCAGAATAGACGTACCAATCGGGGGCTCGGCTGGGATAGTCAAATTATGAAACACTTGCACTACGCTTTGTGAATATAGGTTACATCTTGCACCAAACAGAAAAGAGCAAAGAAGCGTTGGCCTGACTGAGATATAACACTAAAAACGGTTGCTGCGGGCTTTGTGAATATAAGTAGCATCGTCCATGGACCAGAATAAAGCTACCAAGCCGTGGCTGGGGATGGATATTCCAAGTATGAATCCCTTGCACCAGGTTTTGTGAATATAGGTTGTACTATCCACGGATCAGAACAGAACTACTAAGATGTGGGTTGGCTAAAATAGGTAAATCCTAAAACGTTAAACCAGACTTTGTGACTCAAGTTACCGTCGTCCAAAGACAAAAATACAGCTACTAAGCTATGGCTTCGTATGGGTAAACTATCTATCAAGCGGTTGCAACAGGTTTTGTAAACCTAGGTCGCCTCATTCACAGACCAGAATAGAGCTACCAAGCGCTGGCTTGGCTTAGGTAGAGCGATTGTAAAACAATTGCACCGGGCTTCGTTCTTCTACCTATCTTAGGCCATGAACCCAAATTTGACCGTAATTACTTAAAGAATTGGTCGGGGTGCGACTATGTGGTCCGATCACGCGGTGGTTTCCCATAGGTTGGCCTATTATAGAACAATTTTACAAGGCTTTTACGTTCCACCTCTGCTCTTTTACAGGCCGTAATGAAACTATGTAAATGCTGCTAACTTGACATCTACCGGTTACAATGGGGCTGCACCTATCTTAATCCGGGTAGGCTCGTTCACTTGCCACGTAATCATTCATGCATTGTCTTCGCTGGCGTATAACATTAATATAGTGCTTGTACATGTCCACACGCATCAAGGCCGTTCCAGCAATTGCCTCCACTATGCATCTTTGTATTCTTTCAATTAGTTACTTCCGACGCAATCTCGATATTTGCTGCTTCTACGTTCCAACTGTTACATCCTAGTACGACTGCCAAGCTACAGGAATCTATCTAACTCCTGGAACAATTCCGTTTCACCCTAACATGTTTTTTTAGATTGTGATGCAGCCCGCTCACAACTATCCTAATTTCCAACATATTCCTCCAATACCACATGTCGGATATTCCCTTGTCCATATATTCTTACAACTACCTACTTCCAATTGTGAATGTCCTTATCTGCAGCTTTCATGCACCATCTGTCTCATCCCAGTATGACTGCTATGCTACGGAAAGCCATCTAGCTTCTAAATAAATTCGGTTTCAGCCTACAGGCTGCCTACGTATTGTGATGCCACCAGCTGACAACCATATGAACTTGCAAGCTTTCCATAGCTGAACCACATGCCAAATATTCCTGCGGACTTATAAATAAAAAACTTATGCTCGAATACCTCGACCTTCTACTCATGAACTTATCCACTTCCGATTGTGGATGCCTTGCCTGCAGCCTTCACGCCCCATCTTTCTCACCTCAGTGTGACTGCTTGGCTACGGAAAGCTAGCTAGCTCCAGGCTCCTTTCCGATACACACGAACATGCTTCCATTTAGATTGTGATGCTTGACGACCCCCAAGCGCAGCACAGAGTTCGTCTCCCGTAGCCGGATTCTCTCCTTTCTGACAGCTTTCTGATTGTTTATTTATGTTCGCTTAAGCGTAATGAGTTTCAATGCCAACTTACCGCACCTATGCTCGCATGCTTCTGCTCTCCCACGACCCTATGCATTGTCTCCCCTGTCTTAATGCTGCTGTCGGATCTGACTGCACCTCGCTCCGCAGCAGTCCAGCTGGCCCTAGCTTCAGCTAATCTACTACTCGCTTCTTGACGACATTCATCCTGGTCACTTGAGCGCGTCGATTCATTATTTTATCTACGCATCTTCTGATGACCATACTTCTTGCTGAACGTTGTGCACCCGCTGTTTGGACCACGCACGCCGCAAAAGCTTCTTCGATAGCTGTAGATGTATTCTAAGTTACTCCTGATACATGACGTTAAGACGCACCTGCAAACCATATATACGCCTTCAGTTACTAGTGTATCCTACGGTGGCATATAATAGGTCAACAAACCATCTGAGCTGTGACGCAAGCAATCCAAAAGAATGAACATTGTAAGAAAGGAGCTAGCTCCGGATATCCGCAAAGTTAAGTGGAAGCTATGGTGACTAGCTGCTGCTAAGCAGAGATATTGGCTCTAGAAAGAATGTATCAGTGGCTGTTGAAGCCATATCATTAAGACGATTGATCTCTACTGGATACCTACGGTTTCAATGAAGAAATGAACATGCGAGCGAAGATGGCGAGACAGACGGCAGAAGAAAATGAGGGCTGTAGAGTCAGGGAGTGGCTCCTTGCAAGCTACATGGAGCCAACATTGGCTAGCTGCTATCAAGAAGAGTTGATGCGAGTAGGACGAGCGACACAACGGCGCGCTAGGAGAAAGAAGAGTGACCAGCAATAGAGTTCGGATTACGCCTTCAGTTACTAGTGTATCCAACGGTGGCAAATAATAGGTCAACAAACCATCTGAGCTGTGACGCAAGCAATCCAAAAGAATGAACATTGTAAGAAGGGAGCTAGCTCCGGATATCCGCAAAGTTAAGTGGAAGCCACGGTGACCAGCTGCTGCTAAGCAGAGATATTGGCTCTAGAAAGAATGTATCAGTGGCTGTTGAAGCCATATCATTAAGATGTTTGGTCACTACTGGATACCTACGGTTTCAATGAAGAAATGAACATGCGAGCGAAGCTAGGCGAGACAGACGGCAGAAGAAAATGAGGGCTGTAGAGTCAGGGAGTGGCTCCTTGCAAGCCAGATGAAGCCAACAATGACTAGCTGCTATCAAGAAGAGTTGATGCGAGTAGGACGAGCGACACAACGGCGCGCTAGGAGAGAGAAGAGTGACCAGCAATAGCGCGCGGTACTCACCACATGGACGCCAGTCTCCTGACTTTGGGCATCCTATGGAGCGGCGACGCCCACGGGCTACTAGACGGGTGAAAGATGCCTATTTCAAGCATGTGCTCGAACTCTGCGCGAGAAATTTTTAACTTGTCAGGGCTCATTCGCCTGGCTTTGGCAGAAAGAGGCGGACCTTTCGTAACGAGGTGATGTTTTGCAGCATCAGTTTGCGGATGGAAACGGTGCAATTGCACGAAAGTTATGCGGGAACCTGTAATTAAGCATCTGACCGATAGGCGAGCTTAACTAGTTGGCGTATACAGGACTGACTAACGTAATGTCGGCCAAAGTACCTATAACTGCCAGAGGTGCTTGACGATCGATCAGACGGCATTGCTTCGCGTCAAAAAGCAAATCGAAGTGCTGCAGCAAGCCAAGGCCAAGAACTGGCGTTTGGGCATCTGCGACGAGAAAGATCCCTTTAAAAAACGTCGTAGGTTTAACTTAAGCCTGCACGAGCGTTGACCATACACGCGAATGGTGGTGCCGTTTGCTGCGAGGAATGAACTAATCGCCTGTTCAATAACCTCATTGGAATCAAGTAGGATAACGCTGACTTCTGCGCTGGTGTCAACGAGATAGCCTACCTCCGTGCTGCGATCAGTGAAAAAGAAAAGGCGTTTGGGGCATCCAGCAACTTCCGTCGCCCCTACGTGCTGGCCGGCCCGTTTCCCTGTGTGTTGCGCTTGAAGGCACAAGGCTGGCGACACGATCCGGTCTGATGACCAAATCGCTTGTGGTACCAACTATAGCTTGACTTAGGGGATTTCGAAAGTGCTCTAGGACGAGTGTGACTACTGGAACGATTTCGGCTGTTGGATCTGGATGTGCTAGGATTTCTAGTCGGTTGGCAAGCGCGGTTACTTGCGCTCTTAGTTCTGCTACCTCGTAGTGGAAGTGGACTGAACCTAAGATTCTTGGGCGTTGGATTCTTAAATACGGCCTGCAATGTCGGCGAGCTGAGAAAGAGGTGCATCATTTGTCTACATGGTGTTACGCATTTCACGTGACAGGCGACGAAGCCACATCTCTTTAAGGAAAGAGTCCGCATCAGAGAGAGGCATAGCTAGAGCCTGCATTTTGTGCAGAAACTGAGAAGGCTTTCGATCACCTGGCTTGGTTTCGTTAAGAAGCTGTGTAACACGAGCAATGTCTGATATGCCGAATCGCTTTAAGACTATGGCCTTAAGCTCATGGTCCGTCTTCTGATTTTCCGGAAGCTCCAAGATGTCGTCGAGGTCATCGACGAACGGCAGAGGAAGTGCTGAGGCAACGCAATGAAATTTGACGCTGTCAGACTTAACGCCATGTAACAAAAAATGGATTCTAGCTGATTAAGCCAGGCCTTAGGATTAGTCTCTCGGAAAGGCGGGATAGGGAAACTGAACCCAACTTGAACCCAAGGGTTTCAAGGTCACAACGTACTTGTCGTGTTTCACCGTTCGAGGTTTTCTTTACTGAAATTGTTGTAAGAACAGTAGTTAAATAACACTACACAGAATATTTAGCTTTG